GGGATGGAGTCAGGTTCTCTGCTCAGTGATGATTTTAGGGATGGAGTTCTCTGTTCAGTGATGATTTTGAGTTAGTTCCTGTTTCCTGGAGAGCTCCAGGCAGCAGTTGGTTGTTTTACACTCAAGGCTGAGCTCGTTCCTTTCCCCTGGAGCATTTCAGGACACGCTGTGTCCCACCCCAGGGTGTTCCTGGCTTGGCTGCAGCCCTGGCCAGTGGAAAATRTTTGCTGGCAAGGTCTGGTGGCACTGTGTGGGGAGAGCACCCAGCAGAAGGTTTGATCACCCTGGAAGCCTTGGGACACCAATCTAACATTGGAGTAGCTCATGGAAAGCTCTAGAAGGGCTCAGCCATGGTCCAGGTCACAGTTGATGGCTGTTGTAAGTGTCCCTTGGTGTCCCACTGGGCTTGGGGAATTTCTCTTTGGCCGGGCCATTTCCCTGCTCTGCCCATGGGTGTTTGAGCATTCCAGACCCTGATCCCACTGTGGCRTCAGGGCTGGGGGCAGTAGGTGGGGAGCACACCCTGAGGGAGTGYTGGGGACAAAGGTGCTGTTCCTGTCACCTCACTCAGGTGTCCACCCCTGATTCCTACTGGGGGCTGCTTTTAGGATCTCTGGGGGAAAACAAACCCTTCCAGCACAGGATTCCCCTGCTCCTGCAGCACAGAGGCAGCTGCTGTGCCAGTGCCCCTTTGCTKGCTGGTGCCTGTGCTGTGCCAGTGCCCTTTGCACCCTGCTGTTTGCTCAGCAGAGATTACCAATCGTGGCTTGGCTCTGCAGCAGGRGAGATGTCTGTGTTTGGGTGAAAAGGGGGAAATCATCACCAGGGTCTCTTCAGGTCAGTGTGGACGTGCTGCTGCTGAGCAGAACTGAGGGCAGAGTTCTTGTGGCCTCCTCACCTCRGCAGGGCTTGGAGCAGGGTTGAGTTTAAGCTGAAGTTTGGCACAAGGATGAAGAAYTCCAGGGCTTTCTCAGAGGGTGGGGAGCTGAGAGATTTGTTTTCTTTCATGGGGAAGGCTGAGGAATTGAAAATAACCCAGGGTTCTGAGGGGGCAAACATGGAATTTATTGAAGGTTTTAAAGGTACCACTAAACTGCAGAGTGAGTGTCTCCTGGGAGAAGAAAATGGACTAGGTGCCACTGAGAAGCCAGGTGTGTGTGGGCAGGTCTGAGTGAGGTCTGGAGGGGCTTTTTGGAGGGGTTTTTGGGAGGGTTTTCTGKAGGGKTTTTCGGGAGGTGTGGAGCTGGGGKATGAAGGAAGGCRTRCCCCAGCTTAGGGTGGTGCTGGAGCTATGGGAAGGGCTCTGTCCCTTCCCCTCCTGTCACCTTTCCAGGTAGGAGTGACAAGCCAGGGCCAGCAGCCCCATCACAGGTAAAGCTGCTGTCAGAGCCCCAATGCTGGGCAGACCCTGAGGTTCCTTCCTGTGCCATTCACTGCACTCGGTGGTGTTTGAGTCACTGGAACTTGGGCAGGTTGGAGGGGTTGCAGTGCTCAGGGTGGCTGCACTATCCCTGGAAGGGGATATTGGGAAGGAATTGTTCCCTGGGAGGGTGGGGAGACCCCAGCACCGAGTCTGAGCAGCTGAGCAGATGTGGCTGCCCCTGGATCCCTGGCAGTGCCCAAGGCCAGGCTGGACAGGACTTGGAGCACCCTGGGTCAGTGGGAGGTGTCCCTGCCCTTGGCTGGGGTGGCACTGAGTGGGATTTAAGGTCCCTCCCAACCCAAATCATTCCATAATTCTACTAACTRGAATTAACATAATTCTACTAATTCTGTTCTATTCCATTCTATTCTATTAACTGTTCTGAACTGCAGCCTTTGTGTACAAAAATAACAATCATACAAGTGGCCCTCTTCAATCCTTGATCTTTATCAAGCAGATGAACTCATAGATTAATTACTTTTCTTTATGGCAGTTCTGGGGTTTTACAGCATTTCACAGAAGTACAGTGTTGGGAATAACTTGAATCAGGAATTTGGATACAGGGTGCTGCTGCTCATCACTTCTGCAGAACTGTCAATCACACCCCTTTACCAGGCATTTATTTCAGCAAAATAAAATCCTAAAAATAGTTGATGGTTTCATTGGTAGGAGAGCGAAATTTCCGTGGGAACTTTGAGCCTGCGTGGCTGAATGTGGGGATTGCAGAGTGCACAGCTGGATTCCAGCTGTTGGCTCGGGATCTGCCTTCTGGGGAGTTCTGGGGCTGCTCTGGAGCACATCAGTGGGTGATGAACACTGCAGTGGGGTTTTCCTTCTTTGTTCTGAAGTTCCTGTGGGGTAGAGTGCATTGGGCAKGGATTCCTGAGGAGCTGGTGGAACACAGGATGTGCAGGAGGAGGGTTCTGGTGCCTGRGAGAGCTGATGGACCTTGGAGAGCCTAAATAAAACAGACCCAGAGCCCACCTTTCCCTTCTCCTTTCCTGGAGAGGAGCTCTGTGCAGAGCTGATGGGCTGSACTGTSTGTGGATTTGCTGTGTGTGAAACCMAAGTGTTTGACTTGGATTAAAAAAAATTGGGATTTGCATCCAGGAGTGGAACTGGAGGTTAAACAGACCCCAGGGCAGGATGGTGGGGGTAAAGTGGAGCAGCAGGGTCCTTGTGGGGTAAAAACAGTCAGCCAGCAGGACTCAGTGTGAGGTGTTTAAGTTGCTGCACCTTCATCGTGGAAAGAGCTGCTGTTTTATGCTCTGACAGAGGGAAAACAAAACAGTCAGAGCATCCTGTGGTGTTCTGTTCTCAGTCCAGGTGGTGTGTTGGGGTCAGGGTCTGCTGGTTTTGGGGGTCAGGATCTGTGATATATTGGGGTCTGGATCTGCTGGTTTTTGGGGTCAGGGTCTGTGGTGTGGTGTGTGGAGGTCAGGATCTATGGGGTGTTGGTGTCAGGATCTGTGATGTGCTGGGGTCAGGATCTGCTGTTTGGGGTCAGGATCTGCTGTTTTTTGGGGGTCAGGGTCTGCTGTTTTGGGNTGTTCTGAAGTTCCTGTGGGGTAGAGTGCATTGGGCAGGGATTCCTGAGGAGCTGGTGGAACACAGGATGTGCAGGAGGAGGGTTCTGGTGCCTGGGAGAGCTGATGGACCTTGGAGAGCCTAAATAAAACAGACCCAGAGCCCACCTTTCCCTTCTCCTTTCCTGGAGAGGAGCTCTGTGCAGAGCTGATGGGCTGCACTGTGTGTGGATTTGCTGTGTGTGAAACCAAAGTGTTTGACTTGGATTAAAAAAAATTGGGATTTGCATCCAGGAGTGGAACTGGAGGTTAAACAGACCCCAGGGCAGGATGGTGGGGGTAAAGTGGAGCAGCAGGGTCCTTGTGGGGTAAAAACWGTCAGCCAGCAGGACTCAGTGTGAGGTGTTTAAGTTGCTGCACCTTCATCGTGGAAAGAGCTGCTGTTTTATGCTCTGACAGAGGGAAAACAAAACAGTCAGAGCATCCTGTGGTGTTCTGTTCTCAGTCCAGGTGGTGTGTTGGGGTCTGGGTCTGCTGTTTTTGGGGGTCAGGATCTGTGATATATTGGGGTCTGGATCTGCTGGTTTTTGGGGTCAGGGTCTGTGGTGTGGTGTGTGGAGGTCAGGATCTATGGGGTGTTGGTGTCAGGATCTGTGATGTGCTGGGGTCCAGGATCTGCTGTTTTTTTGGGGTCAGGATCTGCTGATTGTTTGGGGTCAGGATCTGCTGTTTTTTTGGGGTCAGGGTCTGTGATGTGTTGGGGTCAGGATCTGCTGTTTTGGGGGTTCAGGACATGTGGTGTGTTGGTCAGGAAGTGTGGTGTGCTGGGGTCAGGATCTGCTGTTTTTTGGGGTCAGGATCTGCAGGGTGTTGGGGTCAGGGTCTGTGGTGTTGGGGTCAGGATCTGTGGTGTGGGGGTCAGGGTCTGTGGTGTGTGGGGGTCAGAATGTGCCGTTTGTTGGGATCAGGATCTGCAGGGTGTTGGGGTCAGGGTCTGTGGTATGTTTGGGTCAGGATTGTGTTATGTTAGGGTCAGAATCTGTGATGTGTTGGGGTCAGGATCTCTGCAGTGCACTTTGGGAAATAAGGCTCAGGATCACTCTCCAGGTAAGTTCTGTTTGTTCTGAATCTGCACTTTGAGATGTTTGGGATCCTTCCAGGGCCTTAAGGGGCTCCAAGAGCTGCAGAGGGACTTGGCCAAGGGCCTGGAGGGACAGGACCCAGGGAATGGCTCCCAGTGCCAGAGGGCAGGGATGGATGGGAAATTGGGAAGGAATTGTTCCCTGTGAGGGTGCTGAGCCTTGGCACAGGGTGCCCAGAGCAGCTGTGGCTGCCCCTGGATCCCTGGCAGTGCCCAAGGCCAGGCTGGACACTGGGGCTGGGAGCAGCCTGGGACAGTGGGAGGTGTCCCTGCCATGGCAGGGGTGGCACTGGGTGGGATTTAAGGTCCCTTCCAACCCACCCCATTCTGGGATTCTGTGATCATCATGGATTCCAATGCACTGGATTGGGAAAAAGTGAGTTCCCCTTCTCAAGAGTGTGATAAATGAGGTGTATCAGGCTTGATTAAACTTGAAATAAAAAAGTTAAAAACAGTCAAAAATATGTGGAATAATTTTTAGATATTTGTAAGATGCTCTTAAAACAATTCTTTTGCATTTCTGCTAAATGGAACACAGAAGAAGCCTTGTTTATATTTGTTTTTATTGGAATCCTTCCAAACTGAAACTCTCCTGATACTCCTCCATYTACTAATTGAAATAAAATTAGATTAATCTCTTATTTTAGTTTTGATTCGACACCAGTCTAGTGTAGAGGATTTCTGAATTAGTCACTACCAGCTTTGCTTTGATTTTTTCTTTYGCTGTGGAACCTTGTAAACACAGCAGTGAGAGATCTACCTGCTGTTTGGGTGAGASTGAAAAATCCAGGGATTTGATGAGTCAGCACTGAGCCCTGCTCCTCAGGAGGATCATCTTCCCAAAGTGGGAGCTCCCTGGAGGCCACGTGGGGTTTGCTGGAGAACTTTTCCCTTGTGCCCTGCAATTCCAGCACGTCCCACATTCCTGAGTGGCTCAGAGCCCTGGACCTGCTGTGCTTCAGGAGTTCCTCTGCTCCCTGGGAGTGACACTGGAGTGTTCCTCCAGAAAAGAAAAAAATTCCCTTTTTCCACTTCTTACAAAGACTGGTTTTAGAGCTGTGAATTAGTGAGGAGGCTTAGAGACTTTTGTCAAGGTAACTTGGTGTAAAGTTGGGTATTTTAATATATATATATATATAATTATTATTTATATTTTATGTATTTATATATTGGGATGCATGGCTCCAAGCCCTGGAACTGCTGTGCCATGATTACTGCGTTCCTCTGCTCCCTGGGATGTTTCCTTTTTCCACCCCTTATAAAGACTGGTTTTAGAGCTGTGAATTAATGAGGAGGCTTAGAGACTTTTGTCAAGGTTACTTGGCATAAAGTCATTATATATATATTTATTTATTTATATTTACACTTATATATTTTATGTATTTTATCTATTTATATATTTGAATGTATTTACAAGACAGGAACAGGTTGGAGTAATGGTGATGGAAATAAAAAATGTGGTTCAGGGAGGTTAGAGGTGATCAGGTAAAGTTGGAGTTTGGGTGTTAAGGAATATAATTTTCCACCACAAGGTGTATCCAACACCCTGGGCTCGGCTGGGTGGGGCAGATTAAAACATCAAACTGAGTTAATAAAAACACACCTGAATGATTCACCTTACAGAAAAACTCAAAGCGTTTAGCGGATTCTTACATTTTAAAAACCTTACATTTTAAAAACTGAGGCAGTTACAGCTGGTGATGGCTGGGGGGCTGCAGTGCCAGGCAGAGCTGTGGGTGAAGCTGCATGCCCCTTTTTGCAGCCCCCCTTTTCTCGTCCCCTTTTCTCATCCCCTTTTCTCGTCCCCTTTTCTCACCCCCCTTTTCCTGTCCCCTTTTCCTGTCCCCTTTTCCTGTCCCCTTTTCCCATCCCCTTTTCCCATCCCCTTTTCCCATCCCCTTTTCCCATCCCCTTTTCCCATCCCCTTTTCCCATCCCCTTTTCCCACCTCCCTTTTTGTAGCCCCCTTTGCTGAAGGGCTGCCCTGCAGGTGACATTTCTTGCTCTGTTGTGTGTGTGATTCTGAGAAACCCCCTGGAAAACTCTTGGTGTGACAAATCCTGCCGGTGCTGACTGTTCCATCTGTTGAGTTGAGCTTAATGATTTTTTGGGGTTTTTTTTTCAGAGCTGGGAGGACTCCTGAAGTATGTGAGACCCTTTTTGAACTCCATCAGCAAAGCCAAGGCCGCCCGCCTGGTGCGCTCGCTGCTCGATCTGTTCCTGGACATGGAGGCAGCCACAGGACAGGAGGTGAGGCTGCATTTCCACACTTTCATTCCTCAAAAGCCTGCAACACTATTTTCTGACCTAATTCACTTCACACTGAAGAATTATTCATGTCAGGAAACAGACTTTTAATGAATTTGGATGTATTTTATAAATAAAACATCAGATCATCRGATTCATAACCTTGTTTTTCTGCAGGTTAGGAGCGACTCCCACCATGGGTGTTTATCTTCGATTTGTGGTGTTTCCTCAAGTTGTGCCAGGGAAAGTTTAGGTTGGATGTTGGGGAAAATTCACTGGAAGGGTTGTCCAACCCAGGGCAGGGGTGGATCCCCATCCCTGGCGGGGTTTAAAAGCCCTGTGGATGTGGCACTTGGGGACAAGTGGCAATGCTGGGGGAATGGTTGGGTTGATGATCTCAGAGGGCTTTTGCAGCCTCGGTGATTTCAGGTGATTTTAGCACTGAGACTGTTTAGTGGGACTATTTTGTGGGAATATTTTGTGGGAATGTGAGGGGTGTTCCCAGGGAGCTCGGACCAGGAAAGGTGGGGGTGGTGTGGGATGGCACAGGACTGGAGCAGCCACTGCTCAGAATTGCACCTGGAGCTACCTGTGCTGGGTGTTTTACTGCCCAAAAACACCAAAGCCACTCCTGAGGTGAGAGTGGAAAAGATTTTGAGCTACTTCAGTGGATGAGCTCTATTACCAGAAAACCCCAAACCATCTACGTCAGCCTCCAGTTRGGATTCACTGTGTGTTCATCAGCTCCCTGGGATCAAATTGGTTCAGTCTATTTTTTTCCCCCATTTTTTGGTTCTTTGGGAGCGGGATAAGGACAGGAGCACCTTGGCAGTGGTGCCACACACCTGGAGGGTCTGAGCAGCAGCTTGGGGAAAGCTGAAAAAACCCATGTGAAACTGCACTCAGGGACTGGCAGATCACAGGCTGGAGAGGTTCTGCCCTGCTGAGGAGCAGGTGATGCTCTCATTAGCCAAATTAGCACAAAAAGAGMCAAATTAGCACAAAATTGGCCAAATTAGAGCTGTCATCCTTTAGTGCAGATAACCCAGCCAGTGTCACCTGGTTGCTGTTCAGTCCTTGTGAAAATGGTGACAGAATGTTTTGCCCCTCTTCCTTTAACAGAAAAGGGGGGAAATGGGGTGCAGGGAGAAGGGAGAAGCCCTAAAAATGTTTCAGGGGAAAAATGAGCAGCTTCAGGCTTTTCTCAAGGTAGCTTGGTGTAAAGGACAATATTGGGATGCATTTACAAAACAGGAACAGGTTGGAGTAATGATAGAAATAATAGAAATAGATAGAAATAATGGAAATAGAAATAATAGAAATAATAGAAGTAGATGGAAATAGATAGTAATAGAAATGGATAGAAATAGAAATAATAGAAATGGATAAAAATTATAGAAATAATGGAAATACATAAAAATAGAAATAATAGAAATTATAGAAATAGTATAGGTTGAAGTAGATAGACATAATAAAAAAATCAGTCTCAATACTCACTTTGGATTGTATTCTGAAACCAAACCCTTAAGAAAGGATGACATCAGCCTGGGAGGTTCCTGATGCAGCAATCCCATATCCCTTCAGAAATATTCCAAAGAGCATTTTTAGTTTGCCTCCTCAGTGTAACTCCCATCCAGAAGGCTCCCAGGAGTGCAGTAAAGCAGTGAAATCGGAGATTTCTCCAGCTCCTAATGCTCCAGCTATCACCCTGTAATAAATTGAAACTTCATAATGGCTTTTCATAAAATGTTCCTGTTTAATAAGYGGTGAGGAGGAGCTGACAAGGCCTGCAGGATTCTGCTGCTGCATCCAGAGGTTTTGGGAAGAGAAATTCCTGAGCCTGGCACCTCAGGAGGATTTATTGGCCAGATAAGACCAGATTGGGTCTTATTYTATCTTATTTTATCTCACTGAGGTGGAACAGTTCTGTGTTATGCATTGAGGGAGTTTCAGCCTGAAAAATACAGGAAAATTCTGGAATTTTTTTCTGTGCTTTCATCCATTGAGGGACTCTGAAAAATATGGGAAAATCCTGGGATTTTTTGCTGTGCTTTTATCCATTGAGGGAGTGTCAGCCTGAAAAATATGGGAAATTATTTGCTGTGCTTTGAAGTGGTGGATGAAGCCCCCAAAGCAGGACCCAGCACCTCTGCWGCTTTGTACAGGACACATGAGCTGAGAGATTTAGACCCTAAATCATGAAATTTCTTTTTTATTTTTTGGAAAAAAACCACAGTGGCTGTGAGTTTAAACTCTGGGAAAACGTTTATGCCTACCCCAAATACCATCAGGGTGTTTGGAATGGGCACTAATGAAGGAAACTTCCAGAATTAATTAATTCATTTCTGCTCTTTTGAAGGTTGACCTGTGTTTAGAGTGTATTGAATGGGCCAAATCAGAGAAGAGGACTTTCCTACGCCAGGCTCTGGAGGTAGGTCCCAGCTGCCAGCCCTATGGAGCAGCATCATCCCCTCCCTGGCAGATTTAATAGCTGTAAAATGTATTAATTAATTGAAGTAAWTAAWTWAATTAMWTWMATTAATTAAATGTATAATGTATKAACGTATACATRTAAAGTATGTMGTATATATTAATACATTAAGTAATGTATTAAAGTATAAAATTAAAAGTACTTAATGCTGTGAAAGTATGAAAAGGACAAACTTGTGTGCTGTTCCCATGTGTCAGGGGAGGGCAAATTCTGAAATTCTGAAATTTCTTGTCCTGAAATTCTGAAAAATTAAAAACTGAAAAACGGAAATTTTCCTGGAAAAGGTAGGATTTTCGTCCTTGTGCAGCACACCTTGCACAGCTGCACCAMGTGATGTGACAARTGCAGATAAAGSTCSTCAAATCTGTGCAGAGAAGAACACRAAGCTTTGTTTTACAAATGAAATSTGCTCTGGCTTCYGTGACAGCAGTTCCTTTTGTGTTCTCCAGGCGAGGCTGGTCTCCCTCTACTTCGACACCAAGAGGTACCAGGAGGCTCTGCAGCTAGGTGAGCCTCCCACTAGATGGTGGTAAATCTTTGCTTTTCTTTTACTCCTGCCGAGGAAAATCAGCAGCTGGGTCACATTCCTGGAGAAGTTCTGCAGGATTTGGGTGCTCATTGCTGGTCCAGCTGTGCCCCCTTTGCTGCAGCTGGGTGATGGCAGCTCTCAGAGATGTGTTTGTTCTCTCTGTGTCACCATCCTCATCCTCTGCTCCCGAGGGTTGGATGGGGYTTGGAGCAAYRTGCAAGGTGTCCCTGCCCATTTCAGAGTGGAATGAGATGATCTTTAAGGCTCCTTCCCACCCAAACCATTCTGGGATTCTGATTTATTCAGTTAAAGTAATTTTGGCAGCTGTACTCAGCTGAAGGCCACCAGGATTGGCTCCTGCTGGAACATTCTGGAACACATTGCAATGCCCACACAGGCTGAAGGGAGGAAGCAGCTTTTTTCCACTTTGCTCAAACACAGCCCCAGGAAAGCCAGGAAATGGCAAAACCTCTGGGGATGTCATCAGCCAAGGTCTCGAGGAGGCTTTAACAATTTGCTCCTGCACCACCTGAGGGATGGTGATGAAGCAGTGCCCTCCTGCTCTGCCCCAAAGCAGGGTAGAGCTGCAGCTCCCCTGGTGCTTTTGAAATGCTCATTTTGCAAATGATTGCCATGCTGCAAGTGAGATTTAACCTGTAATTGAGATTTAAGCTCTCAGTGAGGTTTCAGCTGTGGGGTTGAAGCTCTCAGTGAGGTTTCAGGTGTGGGGTTTAAGCCGTCAGGGAAGTTTAAGATGTGAGATTTAAGCTGTAATTGAGATTTAAGCTCTCAGTAAGGTTTTAGCTGTGGGGTTGAAGCTCTCAGTGAGGTTTCAGCTGTGGGGTTGAAGCTCTCAGTGAGCTTTCAGGTGTGGGGTTTAAGCTGTCAGTGAAGTTTATGATATGACATTTAAGCTGTAATTGAGATTTAAGCTCTCAGTGAGGTTTCAGCTGTGGGGTTTCAGCTGTCTGAGGGGTATTTGCACAGCCTGCTCTGCCAGGGCTGAGGGACACCTGTCTGGAGTGCTCACCAGGGAGCCAGAACTTCCTAACCTGGATGGTGGCATGAGCATGGGCTGTGTCCAGAGTCACCTGGGTGACTTGGATCTCACCAGAATGTCGAGTTCAGTGCTCTGGTGCATGGAATTCAATCTGGAATTAAAGCCATTCTGCAYAGGGATATGTAATGAGCTCAGGTTTAAACTGCTCAGAGGCCTCACTCCAAAGCTGTGCTGAATTCAGTGATTCCCTGGGCTGGTGGTGGGACAGCCTGGGGATTTGGGCAGGTCTGTACCTCTAGGATTGCTTAGTGCTGTGCCCCAACATTCCTGTGTGGCTGAGCAGGATTGGTTTGTGTCCATGGCTGGGGCAGTTGGTGCAAGCAGAGTTTCCAGGGTTTATTCCAGGGAGAATCTGTTGGTTTCTGCCCCATTCTGCAGTTTCAGCTCTGGTTATCAGCTCCTGAGCAAGCAGGGAAGGAGGAGCAGCTTTGTATCTCTGCTCACCCTGAGTTAAGTTTTCTCTTGTCCCCTCTTTAGTAGGGGACAGAAGGGACAGGTTTGCACTGAGCCTGACTCTTGTGTCCTCACCAGCTTTGATGTGCCAGCTTTGTCCTGGCATTTCTCAGCCTGGCCATTTTCCCTCCCGACTCTGACCTGCACAAGTCCAGTGCTTCAACATTCCTTCCCCATCCCATATTTCAGGAGCCACTGGAGAATGCTCCATTATGCAGAGGGGAGAGAAATCACCTAAAATTGGGTGCCAGAGTGACCATCCCAACATCCCAGCCCCTCCAGGCCACTGTGCTGCCCGCACACCACCCCTGACACAGAACAGCTTCATTCTCCCCCTGTGGAATGGCTCTGCCCCACCGTTATTCCCTATCCCTTGTTTGTTTTTTTTTTGGAAGAACAGGCTGTGCTGAGGCTTCTCTGGGAGGCTGGGTGTGGATTTGGTGCCCAGCAGCTCCCAGAATTYTGTCCTTCCCCTCTCCCAGGCTCCCAGCTGCTCCGGGAGTTGAAAAAGATGGATGACAAGGCKCTGCTGGTGGAGGTGCAGCTCCTGGAGAGCAAAACTTACCACGCCCTGAGCAACCTGCCAAAAGCAAGAGCAGCCTTAACCTCAGCCCGGACTACAGCCAACGCCATCTACTGCCCCCCCAAGCTGCAGGCAGCGCTGGACATGCAGTCAGGTGAGGCTGCAACACCCACAACTTCTCCTGACACATCACTGATGTGATTTTTGTGCTTTCCTGAGGGGATCACAGAGAGTGGTGCTTGGTAGAACTTCAGGATACCTCAGCAGTGACATTGCTCCTGACACTTTGTGTTTTCAGCCTGTTTTTGAAAGCTTCCAGTGCTGGAGGGTCCATAAACTCCCCAGGCACTGCAGTTCCAGCCTCACACCGTGTTCCTGACCCATTACATGTTGTTTCTGACYCAGTTTGCAGGCTCTTACCTGAAGTGCCCCAAACTTGTCTGTCTAAAAATGTCCTCATAAGAGAGGGTGTGGATTTTCTTCTGCTGGAGATAAGGCGAGGTGGGCACAGAGGGAAGGATTCCCTTCACTGAAATCACAGAGAAAGCACTGAAAAACCAAATTGTTCAGTCCTCTGATGCTCTGATTGCTCTGATTAACCCATTCACGCCTCTCCCAGGTATTATCCATGCAGCAGAAGAGAAGGACTGGAAAACAGCCTATTCATATTTTTATGAGGCATTCGAGGGCAACGATTCGATTGACAACCCCAAAGCCATCACTGCTCTGAAATACATGCTGCTGTGCAAAATCATGCTCAACAGGTAGGTGGCAYATGGTTGTGGGGAGAACATTTCCTGCATTTCCAGGGGACAGAGCTTTTTGTTGATGGGATTCTGAACTAAGGAGTATTTATCACCCAGTCACTGCTCCTGATGTGGTGCTGTTTGAGCTGTGCTTTGCTATCAGTTGGGGATTTTTGAGGCACTCTGGGGTTTAAGCCGACCACGTTCCTGGATAAATTCTCTGTTCCTTTCCCTCTGTCTGCAGCCCAGAAGATGTGCAAGCGTTAGTGAGTGGGAAGCTTGCTCTGCGGTATGCAGGAAGACAGGTACAGAAATTTAATCCTTTCTGTCTTCCTCCTATCTCTCTCAGGGCTGGCTTCTTCTTTCAGTCAAATGCTTTGCTGTTTTCATACCTGTGAGGAAAATTAATCCACAAGCACCAGAGGTTTATGTCCAAAAATGAGACAGAGGAGTCCTGTGACTTCATTCGAATAGAGGGGGAGGCTGTGGGACATTTCCATTTCTCAAAGTGCTGGAGGATGCAGCCCCCTTTTTATCCCAATTTCCCAGCTGCATTTCCCTCTTTCCTCATTGGCTGAGGTATTGGAGAGGTACAGACTCCCCAAAACACCCAATGCAACCCCCCTCTAATATACATCCCCCCTTTAATACATATCTCCGTGTCTGTGCTGCTGTAGTTCATTAACACATCCTGGGGCCAATCAGTGGAATTCCTGTGGAAATCCTTCCTATTGTTCCTTCTCTCAGTATCAGTAGTATTTCACTCCCAGAATCACAGTTTGTAAAGACACTGCCTTCTCATTCCTTCCCTACCCAAATACCCATCACTCCTGAGTGTCCAGAAGTGATTAAATTCCCATAATTCGTTAACAGAAATCAGTTGTCTTTGGAGGGGTTTACAGAGTTTTTCACAATCACAATCTGGGCTGATCACTTCATTTTCTCTGTTTTGCWCCTCCCTGCTTTTCTTTACCAGCCATGAACTGCTCAGTGCCMTCAGGTCCTGGTGGCCCTTCACTCACCAGCTGCTGCAGTGTTTAAATCCWAGTTTTTCTTAGATTTTCTTTAAATGAAAGTTGTTTTTACTTTGTTGTAGCCAGTTCCTGGCAGTGCAGATGAGCAGGTGGAGACCTGTTGGGGGTGGGAACAGGGAGGTGTGAAACCAYTGTTTGTTTTGCCATGTGAGCATGGCAGGCTGGGAATGAAATTAAATGAAATCCAGGCATGGATTGGAGTGCAGGACCATGCTCCAGATGTGCCAATGTTACTGAAGCTGCAGGAAAAACAACTTCTTAACAACATTTTAATGTTGGAAAGTCAAGGCATTACTTTACTTTATTTTCTGGCCAAGGTGGTGTTGTGGCCAGGATGTGCCACGGAAATAATTCCATTCACCCACAGCCCAGGTGTGCAGAGAAGATCATTCCAGGACACATAAATTTTACAAGATTTTCTCTCAAATTTTATACAGTCAAAACCCACAGAACTTTATTGGTTTAATGTTTCGTAGTTCTCAGTATTTGGGTTCCAATTGGATCTGGATTTCTTTGCTTTTGATGTTGATCTAATTTTCCTTCTTACCTTTTTGTTTTTTCAGASCAGGTTCTCTGACCACACATGGGGAGGTTTGKGGCTGATGTTTCATTATGGTTTTTATGGTTTTTCGTTGATGTTTTTTATCTTTTATGCCCCTCGGGCTCTGTTGAGCTGTGAAGCTCCTCAGACCTCACCTGCTGGAACAATGTCCYGCAAAGCAACATTTGCACCCTTCCCCCAGAGCAAAAGCCAGCAAAATCTGACTAAAGTTACATAAAAAATTTTAAACTGGTGTTTAAAAAAAATTTAAACTGGTTTTAAATTTTCTAACACTGCCCTCAGCCTTTGCTTTGACTAACTTTAGTCAAGGATTTAGTTCACSTTTGCCCCAGGGAAGGTTGCTGAAGTTTCTTTGCAGGGCATTGTTTCACCAGGTGARGYCTGATGAGGTTAACACCTCAAAAGAGMACCAGAAGCACAAAAAATAACAACAATCAATGATCATCAAGGGTCATTAATGAAACATCAGCCCCAGACCTGCCTCCTGGAATGGTCTGAGGCACCTGGTCTGGGAAAAGAAAGATAAGAAGGAGGATCTAATTAACATCAAAAGCAAAGAAATCCAGATCCAACAGGARCCCMRAWCCTGAGAACTGCACAACSTTGAACCAATGAACATSRAACCAATGGAGTTCTCTGGGTTGGACTGGATAAAGTTTGGGGSAAATCYTGTAAAATCCACATGTCCTGGAATGATTCTCTCTGCACACCCGGGCTGTGTGTGGGTGAGATGATTTCTGTGGCACATCCTGGCCAGAACAACATCCTGGSCACAAAATRAAGCAAWGYCTKSACTCTCTAATACTAAAATGTTGTTGAAGAGTTTGTGGTTTTCCCCCGTAGTTTCAGTAACACTGTCCTGCCCCACSTGGGCTCTGTTCTGCTCCCTGCTGGGGTTACCTCTGTCAGGGTAATTGTGGTTGTTGGGGGACAAGGCTTTTGCTTGATTTCAGCAGTTCTGGGGCTGACAAGGCTCATCCCGGGGTGTCTGTGTGGTGCCTAAAACAAGGCTCACCTGGAACAGAGGCCAGACAAAGTGAAGAGAATAAAAGCAGACAAATTTAATCCAGGCCTGCTGGTACACTGAGGACAGACAAAGCCTCCTCCTGAGGCTGCACCCAAAATGGACCCCGAGTCACGAGATCTTCCCCTTTTATCAGTTCTGTCTCATGAACACATTGGGCCCCAATTCTCCAATGACACCTTCAGGTGATGATGGCACCCACCCCAAGCTCCCCCCAATTCTCTGTTGTTTCCATATTTTGGGGCTCTGAGGCAGCGAAGTGTCCTTGGATTTCAGGCTCAGAGAGGAATTGTTTTGTGTGAAGATGGGAGAGCAGCAGCTTTAGTGCTGTGCACTGAAGTACAAGAATGCAGATACATGAAAATACAGAAACTAAAAATCCTAAGGTATCCCATAGGCCCTGGGGCCTGGCCCTCAGCAGAGAAGTGGCTGTGCTGACAGGGATCTGAGGACCCAAAATATCCACAGTCATTCAGCAAGGGACAAAATGTGCACTTACCCCAAAAACAGCATCAAACTCTGTCCCCACCTGCAGCTGTCACCGAAACTGCAGGCAAAAGGAAAACCCTCTAACGCTGTATTTGAAGTGTCAGAGAATCAGGCATTACTTTATTTACTGGCCAGSATGTGCCAAAGAAAATATTCCAAACACACACAGCTTTTACAGGATTTTCCCTCAAACTTTATCCACTCAGAATCCATAGGGATGTGTTGTTTCAAAGTGCCTTGGTCCAGAGTTGAGCACCCCCAGCATTCACTTTCCTATTGGACCCGAATTCCTTCGTCTCTGATGTTCATTGGATTTTCGTTCCTTCATTTTCTCAATCAGTTTTTTCTGGCCTGGATGTCTCCAGCTCTGCCAGAGGCTCTGGGGTGGATGTTTGTAGATGGTCACTGATGTTCTGGTGATGTTCTGGTGATGTTCTGGTGATGCTGTTTTCTTCCTGGGGATCTTTTGTGCTGCTCCCAGTCTGTTGATAAATTAACCCCATCTCCATAGACTGGTAGTTCATCACCAAAGAAACCTTTTTTCCTTTTTTTAATTCCTTTTCCCAAAGCAAAATCAGACTAGAGAAATAAAATAAAATTTTAAAAGTCATATTGTTTCCAACCCAGCTGCTGCTCTCTCTGTCCCTCTGGAGATGTTTCAGGTCATGTCCTGTAGTTGCTGGGTTTGCTCTGCCCATGGTGGTGACAGGGAGCATTCCTGCTTTGCTGCTTAAACACATCCCCAGGACAGTGCACACCTGAGAGGAGAATCCTAAAAAAAATAACCTCTTTTGGCTCTTTCCCCACAGACAGAAGCACTAAAATGTGTGGCACAGGCCAGCAAGAACCGGTCACTGGCAGATTTCGAGAAGGTGAGTCAGGGACACACAAAATGGGCAAAAACTGCTCAGAAACGCCCGGTTTGGAAAGCTGGAGGAGCTGTTACATCCCACAGCAGGAAACCATGGAAACATTGATAGAAAGCATCAAGAAATACCCCCCAGTGTTGGAGTTAAAAAAAGAACCTATCAGGATTGACAAGACCCTGCCTTGTGTGACAAGCTGTGATTAAATTAAATAAAACCCATCAATACTGTCCAACCAAAAATRCAGTTAAATAAAAAACTTCATAAACAATAACCCCACCAGTAAATATTTAACCCAAAAAATTTAAAATATAAAAAGCCATAGCTGTTAAAAATAAACAACAAAATAAAAAATCTTTAAACCAACTGACAAAAATTCATATTCTCCATTCCCCTATTATCAGAAATAACCATCCCATATTAAAACATATCAAACAAAAAAACCCAACCACAAAGTCCCAACAATCAACCAGTTGGGTTTCAGTGCGTGGGAGATGAACTTGCTTGAACCCATTTTTTTCTTTTTTATTATATTTTCTTTTGAAAGCCAACTCAAAAGCACTTTTCTTTAGGTGCTGTTCACTGGGATGGGTAATTCCTTTTAATTTTTTCCTGGTTTGAGTAGGAATTCTGCAGAGCAAAGAGAGAGGATCCCCATGTCAGGATCAGGGGCAGGGCCTGGGGTTTGCTGGGCTGCAGCAGGATGAGAATCAAAACTGGGTTGTTTGTGACCTGCTGGCTCTCAGCTCAGTCAAGGATTGGATTAACCACGGTGCTTTGCTGGGCAARGAGGGGAATTCATCCTCTCAGGACCCCGAGGAGCTGCTGCTGCTTGAGCTTTTCCTCCCTTTGTGTCCCCACAGGCTCTGACAGACTACAAGGTGGAGCTCAGGGACGACCCCATCATCAACACTCACCTGGCCAAGCTCTATGATAATTTATTGGAACAGAATCTGATCAGAGTCATCGAGCCCTTCTCCAGAGTACAGGTAATGCTTCCAGCAGGGCTGGCCTGTCCCTGTGTCCCCTGCTGCTGGCAGGTGTCACACATGGGACACGTCCTGCACTGAGCTGCTCAGTGCTTCCAGAGCTCAKGGACCTTTGGAAAACCACATTCCAGAGTCATTGTCCTCTCCTCCTGTTTGTCTGTGCTCCTTGAGGGGTGACTGGCTTTTAACCCTGGCTTTGAAGGGTTCTGACAAGGCAAAGCTGTGCCATAATTGTGGAGAAGAAATATTTCACATTTCACAGCGAATTATTTCACATTTCAGCGTGAAATGGCTTTAGGTGTCCCATCCCTCCTAGCTCAACTCAGATATGAAATGAGAAGGACCCGAAGCTGCAGAGGGGAGAAAGCCCCCAGAGATTTTGATTTTTAGGCCAGAGCATTTCCTTGAGCTGTTTGTGGGGGAGCTTTGTGTGTCCAAAGTGCAGCTGAAGATTTCTCTGACTRTTGGTCTCTCTTACAGATTGAACACATATCCAGCCTCATCAAGCTCTCAAAGGTAAGAACCTCAGCAGGAATCAGTGCCACGTGCTCAGAGGGCAGAAAATTTGGGTTAAATGGCATTTACCAGTGGGAACTGAACGGAAAGGGTGACAGACGAGCATTTCCACGGCGTTTCCAGGCAAACCTCACCCTTGGGAGCTGAACTTTAACCCAGGCAGCTCCTGGGAGGCATTGAGGCTCCCTCTGCTCCAGACTTCACAGAATCACAGAATCAATCACAGATCACAGAATCAATCACAGAATCAATCACAGAGTCACAGAATCAATCATAGAATCAATCACAGAGTCCATCACGGAATCAATCACGGAATCAATCACAGAATCAATCACAGAATCAATCACAGAATCAATCACAGAATCACCAGGGTTGGGAGAGACCTTCAAGATCTCCCAGTCCAAGCCCTGCCCTGACACCTCAACTCACCCACGGCACCCAGCGCCACATCCAATCTCTCTGTGAACACATCCAGGGATGGTGACTGCACCCCTCCCTGGGCAGACCATTCCAGTGCTTTATCACTCTTTCTGTAAAGAACTTTTTCCTGATATCCAGCATTTTGAACTTTGTGATGTCCCTTCCCTCCCATGGGTTTCACTCCCTGTGTTGGCTTTGGCTTTTCACTGCAGGCAGATTTTCCTCTGCTCTCTGGTGTCAGGGTCAGCTCTGTCCTGTGTTAACACCCTGAGTGTTCCCAGGGGAACCTTTCTGAGATCCTTAAGATCCAGGATCCAGCTCATCACCCCACAGTGGCATTAGGTGTCTGTCACCCTGGCCATGCAGTCCCTGCTGTACAGATCATCCCAGCCAGATTAAATTACAGGAAAATTCCCTGTAATCCTGGCCAGTTGCATCCCTGAGTGCTGCTGTCTTGAGTTGGCATTAAGGCCAGAGGTTGGGCTGAAGTCAGCCCTTGTGCTGACAGAATCACAGAATCCTTCAGGYTGGAAAAGYYCTCTGAGATTGAGCTGAAAYRTTCCCCCAGCAMTGCCAAAGCCACCYRTGTCCCCRAGTGCCACACCCACACATCTGTTAAATCTCACCAGGAATGGTGGTTTCACCCCTGTCCTGGGCTGGACAATCTTTTCCATGAGGAAATTTGCCCTAAAATCCAACCTGAACCTGCCCTGGCACACAGTGTGTTCCTAGATGGGCCCGTGATGTTGAATTAATGCCTAAACCAAGGCTCACCTGAAACAGAGGCCAGACAAAGTGGAGAGAATCAAAGCAGAYAAATTTAATCCAGGCCTGCTGGTACACTGAGGGCAGACAAAGACTCCTGAGGCTGCACCCAAAATGGACCCCGAGTCACGAGATCTTCCCCTTTTATCAGTTCTGTCCATGAACACATTGGGCCCAATTCTCCAATGACACCTTCAGGTGATGATGGCACCCACCCCAAGTTTGCTCCCCCCAATTCTCTGTTGTTTCCATATTTTGGGGCTCTGAGGCAGCGAAGTGTCCTTGGATTTCAGGCTCAGAGAGGAATTGTTTTGTGTGAAGATGGGAGAGCAGCAGCTTTAGTGCTGTGCACTGGAGAAGTACAAGAATACAGATACATGGAAATACAGAAACTAAAAATCCTGAGGTATCAGAACACATCCTTAATATTCAGAGTAAAAGCTGCTCGGTGCCCCCTCTGCCCTGAGAGGAGGAKCTGCCTCCTGTGGGCCTCCCTGGGGCTGGGCAGGAGCTCAGGGTGGATTGAACAAAACTTTTGACTCTGAAGTCAAAACTCTGACTCTTTTTGTGCTGAACTGAGCTGGAAAGTTCCAGAAGCCCCATGAGTGATGGCTGTTTGAGATGTCAACCACAGTGTCACCTCTGGGACGAGGGGCAGGACTCCTGGTGCTGCTCATYCCCTGAGGCATCTCAAGCCCATGGTGGTGTCCAAACCACGTTCAGTAGGAACGAATGAGCAGTGCTCCCATCCCAGCAGGGCTGTCAGGTGTGCAGCAGTGACATTCAAATGTTTTTATGTGATCCTGGGAGACTTAATGTTTCTGCTTCCATTTCAGGCTGAGGTAGAAAGGAAACTGTCACAGATGATCTTGGACAAGAAGTTTCACGGTGAGTGCATCCCTCAGCCCTGACTGGCATTGCTCACACRAGCTGTGAGTGAGCCCCTTCCTCCTCTGAGCCTGGGGGTCCTGCTGGGGCAGCAGAGGTGACAGAGGGGACAGTCAGGGGTGACAGGAATGCTTTTCCTGCTGCTTCATTGAAGGTGACAGTCAGGAAGGCTCTTCCTGCAATTCCATTACAGGTGACAGGAATGACAGGAATGCTGTTCCTGCTGTTCTGCTGCTCCATCACTGGTGACAGTCAGGGGTGACAGGGGTGGCAGACAGGGGTGGCAGACAGCAATGCTGTTCCTGCAGCTCCATCACAGGTGACAGGCAGGGGTGACAGGGGTGGCAGACAGGGGTGGCAGTCAGCAATGCTGTTCCTGCAGCTCCATCACAGGTGACAGTCAGGGGTGGCAGACAGGGGTGGAAGTCAGGTGACAGGCAGGGGTGACAATGGGTGGCAGTCAGGTGTGACAGGTGACAGAAGTGACAGGGGTGGCAGGGGTGACAGTGAGTGGGTGGCAGTCAGGGGTGGCAGAGGTGACAGTCAGGAGTGACAGTCAGGAAGATTCTCCCTGCTATTGCATTGCATGTGACTGTCAGGGGTGACAGGAGTGACAGTCGGGGTGGCAGTCGGGGGTGACAGTCAGGAATGCTGTTCCTGCTGCTCCATCGCAGGTGACATCACAGTCAGGAGTGACAGGAATGCTTTTCCTGGTGCTTCATTGAAGGTGACAGTCAGGAATGACAGGAGTGCTGTTCCTGCTGTTTCATTGAAGGTGACAGGAGTGACAGTCGGGGGTGACAGGAGTGACAGGAATGTTGTTCCTGCTGTTCCTGCTGCGCCATAGAAGGTGACAGGAGTGACAGGGGTGACAGTCAGGAAGGCTCTTCCTGCTGCTCTGTCCCCCTTCCCTAAGCCCAAGGTTTAGTTCCAGAAGTGCTGTTGGGTCCCCGTGTGCTGTGACCCCATCCAGGGACATTGGGGGTCTCCAGGTGGGCTGTGTGGCCAGGCTGGATCCTCCCCTCAGAGCTGCCTGGGAATGTTCTCAYCTTTCCCACTGTTTGTGTCCAGAAWGTTCTGTGGGATCACCCCATRGCACTGTGGGGGGCTGTGGCTTGGCTGGCCCCAAACAGACCCCAAAACCCCTCAGGGAGCCAGCTCAGCTCGTGGATCTGTCCCTGGCTGTGGCTGATTCCTGGAGGGAGGGCAGAGCCCACCTGGGGACAACTCCAGTATAAACCATTACAAACCTGTATAAAGCAGCTTTTTAGGGCCGTGCTGGGCCCTCCTGCTGGGCACAGGGCCTGAGGAGAGGCAGGGAGCTGCAGGGAATGGGCAGGAATTCTCATCTTCTTAGGGATATATTTTTTTCTGGGAATGCTGAGACAGTCCTGACYRRAATCAGCCARCCCAGCCCAACCRTGAGCTTTTCCCAGCCCTRCCCAGCCAGCTGGATGTTCCTGGGYCAGACCCCTGAATTCCTCCTGTCTGGAAGGTCTGGTCCCCCCTGCCCATGCTRACAGCACCTTGTGCCCCCAGGAATCCTCGACCAGGGCGAGGGTGTCCTGATCATCTTCGACGAACCCCCCGTAGACAAAACTTACGAGGCCRCCCTCGAGACGATTCAGAACATGAGCAAAGTAGTGGATTCGCTCTACAACAAAGCCAAGAAGTTGACATAGGTGAGTGGGGCCTCCCTGGGGGCTGCAGAGCTGCGGGGTCACTCCGTGTCCCCCGAGCCTCGCTCCTTCTCCCGTCCGGTGACGCAGCTCTGTTTTCTCTTTGCAGAGTTGAATTTGCTAGCTGTCATTTGGAGAGTGTGTGTGACAGGAGAGTGAAACCTTTGGGAAAATGTTAGGAGACTTTTTTTTTTTGGTTTTTTTTTTTTTTTTTTTTTTTTTTTTTTTTTTTTTTTTTTTTTTTCTTCTTCGTTCTACTTTTCGCTCGGAAAGTTTTTAAACTTCCTCATCCGGTGCATCTTGTATTCCAGACGATGCGTGTTCCAGTTTCCATGTAATCTTTACTGGCCGAACTTTGTATCTGGGGGGGGAATATTGTTTAAACAAAGAGGGTATTCTAAATAAAAGGAAAAAGGCTTACACTACCTAAACATGTGCTTTCCACTTCCTGAGGGACGGCAGAGTTCAGCAGGGACAGCGTTTCGTTACCAGTAGGTGCCCAAAACCACCTCCTCCGCCCCGAAACCGGAGACGCGCTGGCGGTGCCCGAGCAGCCACCTCGATTTCATTCGTACTGAACCAAACAAACCCAAAATGTACAGACTGCTGGTTTCTTTTTCCATCCTCAAGGCCTCCGACCCCGCTGGAGAGCAGCTCCGCGAGGATTCCCCTGCGGGCCGGAGCTGTGGGGCCGCTCTGGGCCGAGGGAGCGGCGCGGCTTTGCCCGGGAGCCTGACTTTGCATGCTCTTGTTTGCAGCTAGACTTAGATTTTCCATGTGTCCTCCCTCCCCGGCGGAGCCCTGGCTGTGCCTCTGCCGAGTTTGGGACAGCCCAGCCCCTTGGGACAGCCCAGTGCAGCTCCTGGGAGCTCCCTCCTTAGTCCCAAACTCCCGGCGGGCGGAGCACGGTGTATTCCAGCATGTTCCATTTTCTGGTGAGGTTTCCAGTAAGTTTTAAACGCCATTTGGGCAGTGTAAGCTTCTGCATCTCTGTCCTGCTCATCTTTATTTTTCCTTTTCCCCTCTGTCTCTATTTTCCTTCTCCACGTTTTTCTTACAAAATTTATATTTTGTAAAAGGGTTCTGTTTTATCAGGAAATATTTTGCCTTCACGCTGACTCTTGGACTGGCTGATTTTTCCCCCTTTCTGTTCACATTTTGATCTCTCCGACCTTTTACTTTATTTTATTTTATTATTCTTAATTCCCATCTCCTCCAGTCAGTCGCTGTTTGGGTTTTTGGCACCATCAATATCAAATGTACAAACGGTTCTTGCTAACCAACACCAGGTATATCTGATGTTCAGATGAGTTCCAATAAAGAATTTTTTTTTCAAAAAACTCTGCCTCCTGTCTTTCAGCCAGCAGGGCAGATCCTGGGCTGGGTTCAGCTTCTCCCTTTGCTCAGGGAAGGGAGGGGTCCCTCCCTTCTGGAGGCACCAAAAGTGAATGTCTGGAGCAGCATCAGAGGGTTTATGGATTGTGATGTGTCCCTGCRCAACAGGTTTGAATGCTACTGAATGCGTAATAATAATTATTTTTTTTTATTAGCATTATTATTATGGTGAAAAATTGATTAAATGCAGCCTCTCAYCCCTCCAGCCTTTCCTGGAAGTGGCCTGATGCTGTGTGGAGTCTCACAAGGCCAGGCCTGGACTCCTTGGAAGGTTTAGGTTGTCATTGATAAAGTATCTTGAATTTTCAATGTCTGAAACCCCTGGGACACCAGGTGGTGCAGGAAAGAAACTGCCCTCAGAGGYAGGAAAATGTGAAGGATTTCACTCTGCTYTTACATTTTGGGCTGCAGGAAAGTGCATTTCTAATTTAAAAGTTTTATTTTTAGTATAAATAACTCCTGAGATCGTTCCCCAGAGAGCTGTGCCCAGTTCACTGTGGTGCCCCTGAAGGGGCATTTCCCCAGGACTATGTCTGAGGATGGGATTTGCTGATTGAGGTGCTGGTTGTGGGTGAATGAAGGGGAATTCATTTATGGAAACAGAGATGGAGCAGGGATGGGATGGCGATGGACATGGAGTGACAATCCCAGGAGAGCTTGGGTTGGAAGGGACCCCAAAGCCCAGCCAGTGCCACCCCTGCCATGACAGCGACACCTCCCACTGTCCCAGACTCTCCATGTCCAGCCTGGCCTTGGGCACTGCCAGGGATCCAGGGGCAGCCACAGCTTCTCTGGGCACCCTGTGCCAGGGTCTCCCCTCCCTCACAGGGAGGAATTCCTTTCCAAAATCCTGTCTGAATCTCCTTCTGCTTCTGTCCTGGGTGTCCTCGCTGGGGATTGGCTCCAGCTCCTGCTGTCATCTCCCAGTGGGGACAGAATTGGTCCTGACCCCACAGGTGACAGAAGGGGCTGACAGACCCACAGGTAACCAAAGGGTGACCCACAGGTGACAAAAAGCGCTGACAGACCCGTGTGCTTGAGGCTGAGGGTGCCTGACCAGGAGCAGGGATGGTGCAGCAGGGCTGTGGTGACACCAGCTCGGTGTGGGATCAGGGAGCTTTAGTGACACATCAGAATGGGCTTTGGAACAATGGGTTTTTCTGAGACACCTCCAGAATTAAAAATAAAATTAGGGCCAAAAACCCTTGAAAGGTAGAACTTTTTGTTAAATGCTTTTAGCTTTTTCTTAAGGCAGAACCTAAAAGTAGATTATTGCTGCTTGGATTCGGGGGATGTTTGAATGGACAAAGGGAATTCTCAGTGACAGCGGGGCCCAGGCTGGGCTGTCACTGTCCCCACGATGCAGGACAGCCTCCAAAGCTGTTCGAGGAGAATGTACAGAGCCCTGGCCACACCAGACACCCAGCTGCCTCAGAGGGTTGGGTGTGTGCTGAAGGACAGGCAGGTTTTTTGGGATAGGACTGTCCTCATGGGAGATTTTGGGGTTTTTTTTTTGAGATTTCCATGCTGTGTGAGTGGGATCAGCAGCCGCAGGTCCGGGGCAGGGCATAATGCAAAAAAATGAGTATAAATGAGTATAAATGAGTATAAATGAGTATCAATGAGTATCAATGAGTATCAATGAGTATCAATGAGTATAAATGAATCTGGGTCATTAGCTCAGGGCCGGGATGAGCCCGACCTTTCCCCGCTGCTGCCGGCAGCAGCTCCTGAGCCGCAGGGTCGCCCCGGGGGCGGCTCCGGTTCCCGTGGCCGGAGCGGGGCCCGGTGGCGGCGGAGCGGCCTCTGAGTGTCGCTGCAGGTCGCGCCGAGCGCGGCGGGGCCGGGGCTGCTCGTGGCTCCCGCTGGAGCCGGCCCCGCTCCGGTCCCGGTGGGAGCGGGATCCCGGGCAGGGGCCGTGGGACCCGGGGGGCACGGGAGATGTGCTGGAGCGTTCCCCCAAACCGGCCCGGCCTCAGAATGCAGTACCGGGCATTTCACCGCCCGGTGCCGTCGGGGCGAGATGTGGACCCGGCCSGGAGCTGGGGAGGCGCCGCTGGACGGAGGGAGCGGCGGCGAAGGACGGGAGGGACGGGTGCGGTGTGCGGGGACCGGGTGCGAATCCGGGCGCGGCTGTGGGGTGCCCGGTGCAGGAGGGTTTTAAATCTTGGTTTTGGGATTTTTTAAAAAAGAATTTTGGTAGTGTTTTATTCTTTTCCCCGCCGTGTGGTGCCCGGGCCCTGCTCAGCGGCTTCCCCGGCCCTGCTGGCCTTGCCCGGGGCTCGGTGCCACCGCGGAGACCGCGACCGCCGGGACCCCAACCCGGGCCGTGCTGGGGGCGGGGCCAGGGGCGAGGGGGGCGGGGCCTCCGTCATTCACAGAACGGCGGGGAGGCGGGGTCTGCGCGGCGGGGGCGTGGCCAGACAGGCTGGGGGCGGGGCAGAA